GTGTGTGTGTGTGTGTGTGTGTGTCTGTGTGTGTGTGTGTGTGTGTGTGTGTGTGTGTGTGTGTGTGTGTGTGTGTGTGTGTGTGTCTGTATAACGCATAACTCATGAACCGATACACAGAAAAACACCAAATTTTAAACTTAAGCTTTGTTTCAGCGTCTAATGAGCTGATTAGATTTTGGGCAGAGTCGGAACATTTGGGGGGGTACTTTATAGGTGGTCATTTTTATATTTTATGGAATATATGTTATTTACGTTTGGAGAAGAAAATTCTTTAAATAAAAGTTACTTCTAATATTATTATCTATAATTTTTGTTCTATACAAAATTTTCCTAAAATGGTCCGTATTCGAGAAATTTGACAAAATGTAAAAAAAATATTTTTTTATAAAAATTGTTCAAATAAAAGTTGTTTGAAATATAATTCCCTATAATTTTTATTCCATACATAATTTCTCTAAAATAAACCGTATTCGAGATATTTGAGAAAATGTGTAAATTTCGAATTTTGAAAAAAACTCAAAAACGGATAAAGAGAAAAACATTAAATTTTAAACTTAAGGTTTATTTCGGCCTGACGTGAAAAGATTAGATTTTGGACAAAGTCGGAACATCTGGGGGGGTACTTTATGGGAGGCCGTTTTTATATTTTATGGAATATATCTGTTATTTATGTTTGGAGAGGAAAATTGTTCAAATAAAAGTTACTTCTAATATTATTATCTGTAATTTTTGTTTTATGTAAAAATTTCCTGAAATGGTCCGTATTCGAGAAATTTGACAAAATGTGCAAAATTCTGATTTTTATTATGAAAGTTTTTGAAATAAAAGTTGTTTGCGATATCGATCTCTATAATTTTTGTTTATACATGATTTTTCTAAAATGGACCATAATGAAAAAATTGTAGGAAATTAAAATTTTTCAGTATTTTCGTTTTCCATGAATATCTATAGAAAAATGTTTCGAGGTAGATGTATGTGGACAATGTATATATTTAGTTTATCCTCTAAACATTTATATAACTAGATAGGAAAGTCATGTGTTGGACACATCAGATTTTTTTAAATAGTTTCATTTAAATGATATAAAATCATTTTCATTCCGTCAGCCTTCAAATATAAAATTACTCAAGTAGCCATTTTCATTACATTTTTCCGTCACTCGAAGTGCGTCTAGCTGTCATATCGCAAAATAGTGTTTATTTCGTATATACTTTATTCTATCTCGATGATTGTAGTAAATCAGTTTCTAGGTGTAGTTTCGGAGTTATATGAATTTGTGAAAATCATAAAAATTCACTTATCAAAATTGTTACTTGTTAGATGATTGATAACAAAATAATAGTATCGCTGATTTAAAGGAAGTCAGATGACATGACAGTCAGTCGTTAGGACAAAAGAAGCCGCCTATTATACAGGATGGGTAAAAACAAACGATTAAGGTTATTTCGCCAATTTTTATCATTGGTCCCAATTAGTGGAACTGAGAATTGTTCATTAAAATATTTGTATTGGGATTATTTTCTTACGATAAAAATTGTTTGGAAGAAAGTCAAAACTTTTAAAGAATATTCTTCTCATCATAAGAAAATAGTCCGAATAAAGATATTTCAATGGAAAATGCTCAGTTCTACTAATTGGGACCAATGATAAAAATTGGCGAAATATGCTAAATTTTCGCAATATGCTAAATTTTCACCATTTTTAAGCCACCTTGAATATTAGTTCTTTTGTCTCAACGACTTTTTGACTAATTAACTACCTTTTTTTGCAATGCTATTATTTTGTTACTAATTAACTAAAATGTAATACTTTTTGATCAGTGAACCTCGCCATGTTTTAGAAACAGCCATTTTTATGATTTTTAAAAATTCATATCTCCGAAACTAGATATAGAAACTGATTTAAACTTGCACATGTAACTTTTAGTGACTTGGTCTACAATATTACTAAAAAAAATTACTTTTTTCTATATCTTCTTTTTTTGCCTTGTTCATTTAATTTTATAAAATAATAAAAGTCATAAATTGTTTTTTAAATTAGGTATTTTATCCTAAATAACCTAAAATAATTTTTAATATTTGTAGATTTTCGTTATTGGGTCGTAGAAAATATACTGTACAACTCGAGTGGATTGTCCAAATCCACTCTTGTTGAACAAACTACTATATAAATTTACCTATCAGTCGATAACAACATGTTTCAATGCGTAAATGATCGATAACTGTTTATTATTGGAACTACGAAGACATTTTTAATATAAAAGTTGTATGGCCATATTTAACAATTATTCTTAAATATACGGGGATGGTTCAAAACCGAGGGACTAACCAAACTTATACTTTTTAAAAGCAAAACACCCTGTAGGTAGTTACACACATTTGATGGTTTTTACATTTGCTATGTATATAGGGTGTGTCAGAACGTAAGGTTTCTCAATTTTTAATGTTATACCACAAATTAATTTAAGTACCTACAAGGTGTTTTGATTTAAAAATGCATAAGTTTGGTTCGACCCTCATTTATGAACTACCCTGGATATTTAAGAATAATTGTCAAATATAGTCGTACAACTTTTGAATTCAAAATTTCTTCGTATCTCCAATTATAAAACAGCTATCGATCATAGTACCGGTATCGTTGTTGAATAGGTCATTTTGTGCTTATGGTAAAATAAAATATAGTGTTCTATTTGAAAAACTTGAGTATCCATTAGGGTGATTAATTTCCGCAAAGTTTTTTTGTTTTTTCGGTGTTCAAGCAAAATATTAATCTACATATAGAAAAAACAATTCTCACCAAGTTTGAGCTCTTAATATCAATTTTAAGTAAGTATGTAACGGTTTTATTTTGCCACATTAGAAATATATTAGGGATGAGATTTTATCAGTCTTATATATCTTAAATAATTGTAAAAAATCAAATATCAGACCTTTTGGATTTAGAAATATGTGTGAATTGAGGCGTTATTTATAAAGGAGTTCTGTTATCATACCAGGCATAGAAATGACATAAATCCTGAATGATTAAATAAAATAAAAACATATTTATGAGCTCAGGTATAAGCGTATACATTGTGACAGGCTTGTCATCACAAAGTCGATATAAAAAAAGTGATCATGGTAACTTCGCAAAACTTCTATAGGGGACTAACAAACTCAAATCAAAGACAATAAGAAAAAATTATAGAAATTAACGGAGGAAATATTAAATTACAGAAAAAAATCAATTTTCGTAATTTTCTACTTTATATACCCTTTGAATCACCCTGTATTTAATTCATAAATTATATATTTTTGAAAATGGTTCAATGTCGACTACTGACTTGTATTACAAAATATATAAAATTGTATTAAAAATAACTTGCAGAGTCGATCAACTTTTTGACTCACCCTGTATAAAATGTTTTCATACCTTCTTATAATAAGTCCAACTAAAGTTAATTCAGACCATATATTAATATTTTCATATTCCCACTGTAAAGTAGAATACACAGCATCAATATTTTTTTTGGTGATTTTTGAATCACCCTGTATCAAATAATACTTTTTCTACACAAAGCAATATTATTTGATGTTATCAGAAAACTATTACAGCAAAAAATCCTTAATATATTGACAAAATTACATTATAATACGTTTTAAAAAATGGCCATTTTTCAACTTCATCACCCTGTATGTTGAAAATTGGCTATAGGATTGAGTTGTGCCCATGGACACTATTGTTCAGGAAGTCGATATCTTTAACATACCAAAAACTCAGGCATATTAACCGGAACCCATTTCTCCATAAGCCGGCTGCCTGGTCCTTTACGGCAACACTGCAAGCACGTTACCCATTGCCGTGTGCGTAGAATTTATTTTTTTTTAGTTGTAATAATTATTTTATCTTAAGTTTTACTTTATATCGTTGCTTTTGTTTGAGGTACCTATTAGTCTTTAATTTATTTAATTGACATTTTATTTACTTTTCTTGGGCACCTGTTTGTTTCTGTTCCATTTATAGTTTTTTTTCATGTCTTCTCATTAGCTTTAGTTTATTATTTAAAATTTTTCTTTTATTTATATATTGTAGAATTGTAAGTATATTCTCTGTAATTGGGTGTAAATCCGTTGAAAATAAATTATTATTATTCTAGAACATTTGATTTTTCTAATATCCTGCTATAGAAATCAAAATATTTACCTGTAGCAGGAACGATTTGAAACACAGCCACTAAAACGACCAAAAAAAGAAAAACAATATTTTTCTCCATAACAATCATACCAGTATTGGTTTAATACATTTTAAGCAAATGATTTCAATTTTTAATAATGTCGCTATAAGTTGTTTGAAAAAAAAAATAAATACCAGAATATTAAATAAGGTTAAATTATTGAGATATTATTAGTTATGGAATGCGTTCATTGTAAAGTTGCCTTTTGCATAAATTATTTAAATGTTTAACCAATTTATATTTTTTCGTTTTTAAATCGCGTCATATTAAAACGTGGGGTTTAGTAAAAGTCGATTTATTTTATTTGAAATATGGTGTATGGTATATAATTAACAATTTTGTTTATAAATATTTTAAAGGATAATATACCAAGACCTTGATAATAGTCAGCTATTTTTGTTGAATCTAAATCTCGAGAATATTTAATATCAATTTGATGAGACATCATTTTGTCGTTAATAATCTGATTAGAGCTCGAGAGCTTTAATCAATTGATTATTAATGCCAAAATTATGTAGAATCAAATTGTAAAATGTTCGAGACATTTAGCAACAACAAAAATAGCAGAATATTAATCAAGGTCGTGTTATATTTGGGACGACTTTTCTTTAAAGAAATAATCGCCGATATTTGGTCTAGGGAGATAATCACTAAAATTACACAATTGTATACCAATTGCACATAACATTCCTCTTTAAAACAGTTCTGAAGAAATAAAACAACGCAACGGCCGACGAGCTACCCATACCTTATACCAATTGACCGGAAATCAAAATCGTTCCTATTAAAAAAGATACTTTAATATTAATTCAAAGGTAACATATAATATATAGATTACAAATCCAGTTAGTTTGTTGAGTCAATGGTTCAATAATTCAAAATATAGGGTGTTGCTAAATGCCATGTCAATATTGAAGGAGGTAATTTTCTGGTCTAATTTACTAGATAGGATCACAAATATACATAATTTCTACTCAAAGCTGTACGGTGTTAGACGGTGTAGGTTCTGCTAACATCAAAACATTTAGGATTCCTCAAATGTATAACGGGTAACATATAAAAATATTTCCTAAATACCAAAAACGGTGATATGATATTTATTTGTATAAACTTTTATGGTTATTTTTTTATGGAGTGATACGTTTCTGTATTTTTTTTTTATAGTTGAAACGTTTCATATCAATTCTAGCTAACTCATTTATCCTTTAACCGGTCTAAACCTATTTTTAATTATACTAAATCTGAATAATTTAAATTACATTACATTAAAATTATCAAGTGCAGTTCCGAAGAGCATTTTTTAACAAAAAATCAATTTAGAGTAAATGTTTATATAAAATGAAGAAATTACCTCCTTCAATATTAACATGATATTTAGAGACACCCTATATACACAAAACCATAAAATCTTCTTCAGATAATAACATTTTTTATCTTTTACACCAAATATTTTACTACATAATATTCAAACAAACAGAACCATCGATTCCACATTTCTAATTTATATACACATTAAATATATTATGGCGCTAAGTATGTATTCGAGAAAATATATTAAATTAATATTACTAATTTCACTGGCACAATTAATGAGATTACTTATAGATACGCAAAAAATCCATTAAATCCATCGAAACTAAGACGTCAAAACAAAAGAATTCAAAATGGGGAGAGCGTTAAAAAAAGGAAACATTTAATTCAAGAAGGAAAAATATCAAATAAATTACAAAAAGAAGGCAAGTTGATATATTTGAGTAACACAATTTAATTTCCAAAATGAAATCACCCTTGCAAAGGAAAGAGATAACTGTATGGCAACGATCGGTCCAGTCTTTAACAAAATGAAAAAAAATATTTATTTCTCCCACAAACAATAATCGTCTTTGGTAGCAGCCACGTACTCGTCAACCAAATCTTGAACGACCTCTCTGCTAGAATCCAACTCGTACAAATTATCCTTGAACATATCCTCCTTTCTGAATTGATCCAAAAATGCCTCGCGCTTTCTCAATTTGTCGTACTGAATCAAAGCCCTATCGAATAGCTGCAAAATTTAAAACATTTTATCAATAAAAATTACAAAAAACGCTAAATTCGGGACATGACATTTATATGGATGTTATCAAATACTTACCGAACTAATATTGGTATGATTGGCCAACATGAGCCCAGAAACCCTATGCGCCGACTGTATATAGGGCGATTTGCGAGACAGAGCCACTTGGATGCTAGCCGGACCCCAAGGGATAAATTGGGCCAACTTCTTCTCTCTGATCCTTTGCAAGGATTTGTGCACTTGAGTGGGATCGACCTCGCCCTGTAATTCATCAATTTTAATACCGATTCTCACGAACGCGAGTAAGGATTACATTTTGTTTATTTTTTCTGACTTTATACTCGGAAAAATTAATTTGTCCTACTTAAAACTATGAAAAATAGATGGTTCTAAGTCGGAATAATCTACTCTTCTGAGTTCAAAGTCGGGAAAATCAATTCCAGAATAATCAATGTTTTTCGAGTTTTAAGTCAGAAAAATCGATCTTTTCCAGTTCTAAGTCGAAATAATTTATGTTTCCGAGTTATAAAGTCAAAAATATCGATTTTGTCGAATTCTAAACAGGAATAATCAGTTTTTGTCGAGTTCTAAGTCAGAAAAACCGATTTTTCGAGTTTTAAATCGGAATAATCTATTTTTCTAAGTCATAAAAATTGATTTTTTGAAATTTCTAAGTTGGAAATAAATAGTTTTCCCGAGTTCTAATAAGAAAAATCGATTTTTTTCAAATTCTAAGTCGGAATAATCTGTTTTTCTAAGTTCTAAGTCTAAATAATCCGTGTTTTTTTAATTTCAAATCAAAAAATCCATTTTGTCCGGGTTCCAAATCAGAAAAATTAATTATTTCGAGTTCTAAGTTGGAATAATCAATTTTTTCGAGTTCTAAGTTAGAATAATCGATTTTTTTCAAATTCTAAATCGGAATGATCTGTTTTTCTCGAGTTCTAAGTCTAAATTATCCGTTTTTTTCGCAGTTTAAGTCGGAAAACCCTTTTTTTTCCAATTCTAAGTCAGAAAAATCGATTTTTTTAAATTTTAAGTCTTAATAATCTGTTTTTCTGAGTTCTAAGTCTAAATAATCTGTTATTTTCAAATTTCAAGTCGCAAAAATCCATTTTGGCAGGGTTCTAAATCAGAAAAATTGATTCTTTCGAGTTATAAGTCTGAATAATCTATTTTTTCGAGTTCTAAGTTAGAAAAATCGATTTTTTCAAATTCTAAGGCAAAATAATTTGTTTTCCCGAGTTCTAAGTCTAAATAATCAGTTTTTTCGAATTTAAAGTTGGACAAATCAATTTTTTCTAGTTCCAAGTCAGAAAAATCGACTTTTTTCAAATTCCAAATCGTAATAATCTGCTTGTCCGAGTTCTAAGTCTAAATAATCCGATTTTTTCGAGTTCTAAGTCGGAATAAATAACCTTTCCGAGTTCTAAATCAGAAAAATCGATTTTTTTAAATTCTAAGTCCTAATAATCTCTTTTTCTGAGTTTTAAGTCTAAATATTCTGTTATTTTCAAATTTCAAGTCGGAAAAATCCATTTTGTCCGTGTTCTAAATCAGAAAAATTGATTCTTTCGAGTTCTAAGTCGGAATAATCTATTTTTTCGAGTTCTAAGTTAGAAAAATCGATTTGTTTCAAATTCTAAGTCGGAATAATCTGTTTTTTCCGAGTTTCAAGTCTAAATAATCAGTTTTTTCGAATTTTAAGTCGGAAAAATCCATTTTTCTAGTTCCAAGTCAGAAAAATCCATTTTTTTCAAATTCCAAATCGTAATAATCTCTTTTTCTGAGTTCTAAGTCTAAATATTGTTATTTTCAAATTTCAAGTCGGAAAAATCTATTTTTTCGAGTTCTAAGTCAGAAAAAATAATTGATTCTTTTGGGTTCTAAGTCGGAATAATCTATTTTTTCGAGTTCTAAATCAGAATAATCGATTTTTTTCAAATTCTAAATCGAAATAATCTGTTTTTCCCGAGTAAATGTAAATAATTAATTTTTTTCGAATTTTAAGTTGGAAAAATCCAATTTGTTCAAGTTCTAAGTGGTAATAATATATTTTTATGACTTCTTAGATGGAAAATTCTATTTTTCCATGATCTAAAAAAAATTGTTTCCCTTCAACTTTTCCGTAGTTTCTTCAAGTAAATTAAGAATATAAAGCAATAGAACAGTCTTAATTTCTTAATTTATCCAATACTACATCACCGATGTTCTTCTCACCTGGATGATGTTGAGGATGGAAATGAAGCAATGTTGCGAGCTCCTGTCTTGCGCAGTAGACACCATCATGTTTTTGGGTTGTAATAATCTTCGCATGACGTCTAAGACCGTGGTTTTTCTTACACTGGCTTCATCGGTATCTGTAGATAGGGGAGTATAACCAGTCATCAAGAAATGTAACCTGGGAGTGGGAATGAGAGGACCCAGTAACTCCATTAGATCATTGTTCATGTAGGATGGGTACCTTTTGGAAAAAAAATACAAGTGCATTTTGTGTCAGTTATTTAAAATAGACAATAGGAAAATGTCAGAAATGTGTAACAGAGTTGCTATAAAAAAAAATGTATTTAACCATGAAATTTATGCACGTAAAATGTTAAAAATACATAATTGTTGATTTAACATTATATTATACTTAACATTATTTGCCTCTGAGGTAAATTACAAAGCTTAAATTGTAGGTACGCTATTTGAATGTTTTTTTAGAGAATTACTTCATTATAATAATGTATCGCTTCCCTGGTGAAACAATAATCAAAGTGAAAATATTTATTTTTTTAATTTAAAAAAATGCTTATTTTAAAACTATAATTAGCCACTCACCTCAAAGTCGTTGTAGAAACGGACATAATCGTACTGACCAAGCTGTTGATCTGAGTAAAAGTGGGATTCTGAATTTTCAAGCGATCAGCAGCGATCCCATTCAAAGCTGTATTATCCAAAACCACTACAGAATCAGCAGATTCCGTCAATCTCTTTAAAGTCAGCAATGAATTGTAAGGCTGCACAACCACATCACTACAAACGATACCATTAATAAAAATACATTTATATTTTTGTTAGAAACCAACCTGATTTCATCCAAATTGGGGAACACACTGTATGTTTGAACCAACTTTTTTGGGAACCTGTCTGACAATTTTTCGAGTATATTCGAGCCCATTCCTGATCCAGTTCCACCAGCAATGGAATGGCATAATACAAAACCTTCTAAACTGTCAGAACCTTCAGCTTCTCTATCGATAATATCAAAAATTTCCTCACTGAGCTTTTCTCCTTGCGAAAAACCGGAAGCCCAGTTGTTACCTATAATTAAAGAATAGTAGACAACTAATTAGATTAATGTGGGATTGGTACTTACCTGCACCGCCACCGTTTTTCGATAAAAACACATTCTCTTGGTTATACAACTTCGAATAAGGCGAATTTAGTATAGTATTAATCACCCTGGGTTCTAAATCTAGTAATACGGCCCTGGGTATGTAGTGCTCGTCGTCAGCCTGGTAGAAAAACACATCTTTACGGTCTATACCTGGAAAAAAAACGAATCAAATATCCTTACAACGACTTTTAAACCATTTAAAGATTACTTTCTGTAGCATAATCTTCTAGAATTCCTTCTGGATTTATTCCATGTTCGGCACATAATCGCTTCCAGAACTCAAAACCGACTGCAAATTAAATTCGATCAAAAATAATAATAATATTAACCTCAAATTATCGTTAATATTCTTACTTTGATTGCCGCATTGGCCGAGTTGGAGGGTTATCATTTCACAAGGCATGGTTGCAATGCAAATTTTTCTTTACTATTTAAGCCAAATTGCTCTTTTTACATGCATCAGTGCATAAATAATTAGTTTAAATGTTTTATTGATTTGGGATGACAGTTGTTTCAATTAAATGTCAACTGAAATTTTAAAATGACCAACAAAATCCTGTTATTGGTCAAAATTTCTGCGGTTCTAGTAGTTTTATGGGGCGAGGCCGAACTGATACGAAGCTATACGAAATGGGTAAGCGTTGCCAAATTGTAACGAAAATTAAAGAAAAAGTGATATTTGCGAGAGTGCAAAAATTTTGAGTGTATGATTTACAATATTTTCTAACGCATTTCTCAGTTCTCTTTATTTTTTTGCCATCTTGTATCAATTATTTAATAAACGAAAGAATGAAATCCAAAATCGATACCACATAATATATATTTATTGATCTATTAGTCACAGGTAAGTTAAGGTGAGGCTTTAATTCGGTCTCGGTGATTAAGATGGAACAGTTAGTTGGCAAAACGGAGATGGGTTGACTCAGTCGTTACAGTCTAGACCTTTAGATCCGGGTGTCCCAGCGTTCAAATCCTATAGCATCCGATTTTTTTTTTTTTTTTTTTTAGAAAATAGAACCTTAAGGCGCTGACTACCGGAGAGCAGGAGAATTTGAAAATCAATAATAACATTTGGCAACATTGCTTATTTATCACAGTTGTGTAAGCTCCTAACAGTTCACCACCTAGAGTTCATTGTAATTTGGCCTCTTTCAAAGTAACATATGAGATAATGGGTCCTATGATTGAACGTTTATGTTATCCATAACGTACATGTTAGGTCGAATTTTAACAGTAACGAAGCAAGTTTATATGATGGAAAACTGTTAAATTAGAACATAACAGGCGGAAAATAACAGTAATGTGTTGGAAACCGTTTTTCATCATACGAACTTGCCTAATTACTGTTAAAACTGAGCCTAACATGTACGTTACGGATAACGTAAACGTTCAATCATAGGACCCATTATATTTTAAATAAAATTAATAACGCTACAAATAATTTAAATAAGTTAAAAATTAAATAAAATTAAAACAAGTTACTTTTGTATGGGCTAGAATTTGGGAAATACTTATAAATATGCCGGTTTTAAAAGTAATAAAGTATAAATAGAAAGAGATAAATGAATAGCAGTCTAATTTACCAGATAAAGATGAACGATACGCAAAATATTTGAATGAAAGGATTTGAAAGGGAATTAAATGTATCTGGGGTAACAGAACTACTGTTTTGTCAATAAAAGACATTGAATAAATAATAAAATGTCTGTAATCACAGATATTACTCCTAAAATTGATGAAAAACCTCGAAAATATGGAAACGCGGTATTGGACGAGCTATGCAGAGGCCCCAGGTAATTTTAATTTGAAAATTTTGACTATTTGATTTCAAAATTTTATTCTTTTCTAGAATGACCAAAGAGTTCATAAAACAACATTGCAAACAGCACAAATTATACCAAACGCCTTACTTGAATGACGTTTTATATCTTCATTTCAAAGGATTTTCTTATATAGAAAATCTAGAAGAATATACAGGACTGAAATGTCTATGGTTGGAAAATAACGGCTTGAAAGAAATAAGCGGTTTGAACAATCAAAAAGAACTCAGAAGTCTGTTTCTGCATTATAACCTCATCAAGAAAATCGAAAATTTGGAATATTGTCCCATTTTGGATACGCTCAACATATCTTACAATCAAGTTCAGAAAATTGAAAATTTGAGTAAGTTAAATTGTTTGAATTATAGATAAACAAAAAAAAAAGCTCGAGTAATATTCAAACGCCAAAAAATTTGACGGAAGTACGGAAAAAGACGGAATTGACATTGACACTCTTGACAGCTGACAACCATCAAAATATTTATTATTTTTGTTTATACGAGGATAACTCCATAAATTTTGAGACATGATATTAATAAACAGTGTTGTTCCTGGTTGTACAATTGTACAAAAAGTTGTACAATCAGTTATGCGGTTGTACTGTTGTACGCACTTTTGAAAAAAGACAGAAATGTTGTACAATTTGAAATTTCTAAATATTTATGTAAAATTGGGTATATAAAAGGTTTTCATCGCTCAAAAAGTCTACGATTTGTTAAATAGCATGCATTAAAATTAATAAAAAAAATAAAAGTTTAAATTTGGCGCCATTCGCAACCAATCAGTACACCGTTTTACATCAAAAATATATTTTAAACTGGAAAAAAGAAGAATTTTAAGCATGTGAAAGTAGTAGGCCATAGTCTGTCAATAAAAAAGAAGAAGATTAAATAGTGGTTGTACAATCGAAAGCGTAAGTGTTCAGGCCGTCGATTCTCGAGCTTGGACGATGTGAGTGTTCCTATAGGAGTGATGAACGCTCACATCCTACAGCGTTTCTCTCGACATGGTTTGACCGTATTCTCGAAGCTCGGTGAACGTGATCAAACGGGGAATAAATAGAACGGTGTTGCCAAAACTAATATCTTCTTTTTCTTGGTTTCAATGACCATTTGAACTATATTTTGTTGTATTAGTATTATTTCGCAGTAATAAAAAGAAGAGTAACAGTTTTAACTTCACTCTTTACCTAGTTTGAATTTGAAATTTTATTTGTGTATGGAATTAGTATCATTTTGAATTTAAAACTAAGAGGGTATTTCGTCAATATTTTCTAATTTTAAATTAAAGAAGTGTTTGAAAAATTTAAAGAATGGAAGAGATAAAATATAAACGTACGCCCATTACAGTGACGCAAAAAGAGTTTTTAATAGAATTCATGAAAAAAAATGAAAATTTGCAAACTGGCAAATTTACAAATAATTTTAGCTTTAAAAAAGCACAAAATTTGTGGGAAGAAGCATCCAATTACCTAAATAGCATACCGGGAGGTGCTAAAAAAGACTGGAAGCATTGGAGAAAAGTAAGTTTGTTGATATCAATAATATATTATTAATAGGTACCTAAATATTCCGTAAAAATTGTTCTTTATTTAATACATTTTTTTTATACAGGATATTTTATATATTTAATAAATGAAAAAATGTACTTTACATTTCACAAAAAAAATTGAAAAAGTTCTGAGTCACTTGGAGATACATATAACAGTTTTAAAATTTGTAAAGTACAAGGGAAAATAAAAATTATGATTCAGTAAAATAAATGAATAGTAAAATAACTTTTAAATTTCAATATAGAGCAAAATACCAATTAAAATGTTAATAGGAATTAAAAAATAGGTTTAAGTTTAAATCATTGCATTTATTTTTAAGTAATTTCGATTAATTTTATTCAATAAATAATCAAAAACCAATGTACACCAGAATTTTTTTAATTTCCCAAATTTTATGTTTAATTATGGATTTTCAAGTGATGCAGAACATTTGTATCAAGAATAATTTTTTGTGAACGTGTAAGATCAACTTTTTTTCATTTGCATAAAACTTCTTGGGACACACAGTATAAACACAATGTGCTTTAATATATTGCTTTTTTTAAAGAAAATAATTGATATTAAAAAAGAAACTTGCTACCTATTTTTTGCCATTTTTTTTTTGTCTGTAATTGAAAAATATCACATTTTTGCCGCTTAAGGTTTTTTCGTACTTCATTTCATTAAAAAAAATCAATTTTAATGCATGTAAGCTACATAAAAATTATTAAAACATTACTTTAAATCTAATAAAAATACTAGAGTTATTTGTTAATTATTTAAAAAAATTTAACATCCTGTATCTTAAAAACCGGAAATTTACAGAACATGCTTTTATTTAATTTCAATTCATAAAATAGGTCTAAAAATTACATCCTTTAATATTTTGGCTGTTATTTAGGGATTTTGGGATTTTCCCAAATTCCCGCATAATTAGATAATAAATAGTTTAAATGGTACCCTTTATAAATAGTTGGTACCTACCTTAATCCTATTAGGATTTTCCCCAATTTGCAATGCAAAGAAGGTAATAATTGCTTAAAAGATACAAATATTTACCCTATTATTAGGATTAAAATAAATTTTAGATTTAGATTTATCTAATCAATTAGGAACTTTTAAAATTTTTAATATCAAAATAACTGATCTTGTAATGGAATTAAAATATTTATTTTATTGTTAAATTATTAGTTAACTTCTCTATTAAAAAAAAAAAATGTAAATTTTCAATAATAAATTAGTATTTATAAGATAATTTATTCTAAATTGTTAAGAAATAGTCTAATAATAATTATGAATAACGGTATTATTTCGTAAATTAAAAGACATTCTAAACTATTTTTTGGTTAATTTTTCATAGCAGTGATTTGATTTATTTTTGACTTAAAAATAATGCATCAAACTGTAATGAAATTAAAAAATATAACAATTTTAAAATTTACAGACCTGGCAAGACTTAAAAAAAAATGTAAAGGCAAAGGTCGTTAAAGAAAAACTATATAGTCAAGGTACAGGTGGTGGGCCATCAAAGATAACAGAACTCGATGACACCGAAAATTTAATTTTGGAAATGGTTTCACCGAAGGTTACCTTCGGAGACAGTAATGTCTCAGTTCCTGAAGTACAATTCAACTTCACAGAGGTTTGTAACTGAATTAAAAAATATATATATAATACATTATATTCTATCCCATACCACTAATAGCCTCTTTTTTGGCTATGTACTATGTTTCAATAAATACTTATCTATTATTTCAGGGTGCTGTTCAAGAAACAAGTAGCTTATCACCCTCTGGTTCGGATGGTTTTCTAGCTGAGGACATAACCGATTTGAATTTAAACACCAGTGGTGAAATTCTAAAATCAGTAAGTTTATATTCACATTATTTAGTGTTTCTTAATATAACAATGTAAAATGTTTTAAAATTAAGCTAGTACATTTATCTACACAAAAATGTGAAATGATAAATATAGAAATATGAAATGTCTACAAAGAAATCAAGCAAATCATATTCTTTATTAATATTTTTATAAAGTACGTTTGAAGAGTAAATTTTAAACTTAAAAGATCTACCTAAAAATAATTTTGTTGCAAATATATCTATTATAATAAACTTATTTTTAGAAAGCTACTAATGAACATGATTACAACATGAAACCAGTAGATCGAAC